CCCCCCTTTCACCTCAGAAGCCCTCCCTTCACATCAGAACCTTCTTTACCTCAGAGGCATGACTTTGTGTGAACATTTTGAGGCACCACTGAGGAAGCCGTAAGGCACACCAGGATGGCACGGCACGCTGGTTGAGAAAGGCTGCCTTAGGGTACCTAGTACGAGTGGGTAAGTAAATCAGTGCTGAGTATAGATGTACACCATTAATAGATACTCTTTTTCTAATAAGGCCCATGTTGGTTACGTCTTAATGTAAGCTTAAAACATTATTTGTCCTGAGCGCAAAGTCAGATCCTGGCACATAAAGTGTTAACCTTTTACTAAAAAGTTATGAAGTAAAATAGAAAGACACCTTTGTCAACACTTTAAAAAAAAACCCAACTCTGTAGAGGCTAACAAAAGGCTTGGTGTCATCGCTGCTGGGTTAATTGGCACCCTTGTCCATGGAAAACCAGGATGTTTGATCGTCGCACTGCTTCACTGACTTGCTTGACTTCTATGTGATAATTTGCCCAGGATATTAACCCATTGATGGCAGGGGCAGTCAGTAACATTGGCAGCAATGGGTTTACTCTGGCTTACAGTCACATTCCTTCTGTTGCACATCCTGGTTTCCCTCCTTCCTGTATGTTGTGAGCTGTGCATGCTTCTTCCCATCTGTTCCAGTGGGAGAGCTCATGAGTAGCACACTTCACATCAGTAGGAGATGGCTGGGGGGGGATCCATAGGCCAAATGTATTGTGCTGCATGTATGCGTGTGCTTTGGTTTCATCGTCTACATGACTCAGAGCTATGACTGCAGTTAGTCAGCCGCTACTTCCCTTCTCCCTCCTCCCAACTATTGTGGCCCTCCCTGCATCCTCTTGTTTCCTGATGTTATATTTTTAAAGCAGTGGCAAAACATTGATGAACGAGTTGCTGTTTCTTGCTGTTTCACAAGTTACCAATTTAAAATGAGCAATCTGCCTCTGTAAACATTGTAACTAAGAGCATTATAGAAATGCACCTCATTATCAATGTTTATTTTTAAGAAAGCCAA